TGTTGCATCCTACTCTTCTTCATATATATGGATTTGGCTAACCGATAACATCCGTCAGTCCTCTGTCCTCTGTTTCCCATTGGTGGACGATTAAAACCTAGCAACTAGCCACACTTAGCTTGAAAATGTCATCACCTACTACATACTCATACTACCAATGGGAAATAGAGGAATATATGTACTCATATATGTACAAATTTATAGATCTAAACTGTGTACATATATGACTAGATTAGATTGTATGTCGTTTTGACTTTTTTTAGACACATAAATTTTGTTATATATATAGACATAGTGTATACACTACCACTAAATCGATTTGTAGAGGCGCCGGCTTTTTATGTTGGCCCTCGGGCCCCACTAAGCTAGCCTCATTCACAAACATATCATTAGATTACCGGCCGCCTCTAAAGATGTATTTGTATATAACCGCCTCTACTAATGCTCTAGAAATATACAACAACCTCTTTCTTCCTCATCCGGGCATTTACATGGACGCATGAATAGTTGAACTTAATGCTTAAATGGGTGGCCACGAATAAGGTGGTGGTAGTGGGGATGGTGAGAGTGTAGGTGAAGGTGGAAATGACGACAATGCACGTGTCCAGGACGAAGATGATGGTGATTATTTGGAGGAAATGCTTTGGAACTTAGACCAGGGTGCTACTTAGGAACAAAAGATCTAAAAAAATTGAAAAGGGTAAAAAGGAAAGCAAGGGAGACTTTGTACTGTGTTGAGAAGAATTGTCCGACACCCACACTGGATGGTGGATGGTGCTACGTTTTGTGCTTGAGCTGGTCGTCCTGAAAGGCTAAGTACATTGGTTGGACTGCAGTTTCAAAGAACTCTTGCGTCTCTTGTAATGGTTGCTCCCGCAGCCAAACTCTGTTCTGACCAAATTAATCTCTAGTAGCGTCTAGTCATTTATGGTTCTTTCGATGATTCGTCCAGCAAATTAAGTACGTAGTGCACAATTTGCCTAGCTAGTTGCTTGTGTAAAATTATCATGACGATCGATTGAATTTTTCGTTTTCCAAGTTGCACACAACATGTGTTTTCCAAGTTGCACACAATAGCGGGTTCTAAATTTTCCAAGTTGAATTTTTCGTTTTACAAGCTAAGGCGCTTGTAATTTTTGGTTCAGTTGACAAGGTCATAACACAACGCTGTCGATAAACAAGTCGTGTTAGAGACATATAAATTAAAACCGGATGTATATGTATTATTCAATCCCATAGAGCATCTACCCAACTGAATCACAGTAAGTTCATGAATTACGACAAAGTTTAAATCTAAAAATGCATGTCAAGCTATCATCATATCCGTTTCAATACTGCCATGGTTGTTGGCGATCGTTTCAAGCGTGGAAGTTTTCTCCGTCGCGGGAACTTTTTTAGCATCCACTGGTGCACGACTCAGACCTCGCTCACATCTTGGGACTTGGAAATATGTCACAGCTCCCTTGATAATATGCCATATCTATGCACCGCTATAAAAAATGTTTGTCAATAATTAATCTAAACCAAGTCGTTACTCTTAATTGGCTCAAACTCAGCTCAGTTCAATCTAATCAATCCGATAGTCCTTGAGATACACCACGTACACCTCACTCGCAATTTTATGGTTGTAGAACATGCACATTGAATGCCACAAGGACGAAACTTAGATAAAAGGAAATTACTTCACTATTTCAAAATTCGAAATATACTAGGTTCTACTTTCCAATAGCCTCACAACAAGTCTAAGTTACACAAAATAGTGGTCATGCCAGACCCACTATTCTACTCCCTCCATACAAAAATGGTATTCGTTTTAGACTAGAGGAAAAGTCGAACTTTATAAATTTTGACCAATAATTAGCAAATTGTGTGAAATAGATTCTAATATGATTACCATTGTTTGACGGAGAAGAGTACCATACAACACCTACCACTCCGGGTATGAAATATAGGAATGAAGAGTGAACACATGATTCTTAATTTGCAAAAGTAATTTAATGATAGCACCGTGAGTATAAAAGATAGACTTAATCTACAAATGCTACATAGTTTTCTATGAAAGCACGCAACGATAACAAATTTGGGTAAGTGAAGTTGCATAAAGTAGTTATGATCAAACAAGTTTGGGTAACACATGACATGCTAGGGATTTTATTCACTACACACAATCATATCTTAGATAGAAGGCAAGGTGATCAAACATGGGCTCGATCTAGCACAAGTTAAATTCGGCTACGTACTCTACCTTAAGACCAACCATCAAGAGCCTCACAATTCGAATTAGTGGTCATATGGGTTCATTACCAAGCTTTTGTTTTTTGGCGCGGCCAAAGGATATAGTGGGCACGCACCCTTTAACCCACCCACTCCCCCACCGCAACCCTGCTTGGCTCCAGCAGTGCTCATGCCGTTACCTCCACCCTACCATCTTCCTTGCTAAATTGAAGCCCATTTCTTCTTCTCTGACCAAGTCTTCTTGACTCCCGCACCACCGCCACCCCCGCTAAATTTACCATGTTTCTCTTTCTCTGGCCGAGTGCCCCCGAGGCTAAGCCTAGTCCCCTCCTTCTTGTTCATCTATTGATTCCCTGTTGCCAGCACCATCCAACTGGCCTCTCCCACGGACCTTGTGGGCTGCCTTCCCGTAAGCCCTCCTTCTAAGTCCATAGCCATGGAAACCCTCCTAACCGCCCCCCCTAAGCCCCGAACACTAATGGCCGCAAACTCGTCGTCCCCAGCTATGATGAGTTTGATTTATCTTCTTTGTCTCTTCTCTAGTGCATGCTTGCCAAATCATCCTCTTCACACGCCTGTCTGGAAAGAAGCATTTGCCTTCGTATTTAGTTGCGTCCTATTTACTCAGTCATTGGCCATTTGTGTTGAATGTGTACAACTATGATACTTTATGAATCAGTCCCGGTTGGTGACATAAATGGAGAGTAAAACTAGCCTTCAGTCCTTTCATTTGTTTTAACAGGCAGGGGCAACCGGTTTATTTTTGGTTATGAAGTTAGTAGGTGGGGGATTATAGAACAGTTGTAGGGGTAATTTTTTGGTCAGTGTCGTCTAAGGTCCTGTTTGAATCCGTGTAGATAGTAGTTATCTGCTAATAATTATCTCTTTTTTTTTATCCAAACAGGTATAGACAATAGATTACCTAATTGTTAGCTGGACCCTAGATAACTGCTATCTCACATTCTCAATAGTTGGACTAAATCAGATAATAGCAGCTAATAGGTGCAGAAATAACAGAAATTGCTAGTAAATGCTAGCTGGCTAATAGATGTGGATCCAAACATCATCCAACTAATAGGTAGCTAATAGTTAGCTACTAAATCCGTTTTAAATTATAGTTCGTTTGACTTTTTTGACCTCAAGTTTGATCACTCATTTTATTTAAAAATTTGTGCTAAATATCATTTCTTTTATTGTGGCTTGCTTTATTAACAAAAGTTCTTCAAGAATGACTTAAATTTGACTATGTTTGCATTCATTTTTTGAATAAGACGAGTGGTAAAACTTGGGGTCAAAAAAAAGTCAAACAAATTATAATTTGGAACGGAGTGAGTAGCTAATATTAGATATGAGGTATTAGCCAACTAATTATTAGCAGATAATGAATCCATACAAGAGCTAAATATTTTGTATAAATTCCATATTCTATACCATACATGTCCATGCGTACAAGACGATTGACACATGGATAAAACTTATATATACGTCCACATCACATGCATGCATGTCATCAAATATAATGTAACCATCGATCAAGAGGAGACTTGTAGTTCTATATGAAAGTCTCGCTCGATCAAAGTCTTACTACTAATAAATTGAGGCGGAGACCCCAAAAAATAAAGAAAAAAAGATGTGCAACTTGCATATAGTTGGCTGTATGCATGCGTTTAGCAACACGTGTATACTCCACGATGGACAAACAACGGCCGGATCAATTCCGAGTGTGTCGTAAGCCATTGTGACGATCGAGCGAGTTTTTCCTTTTTTCCAATGTTGCATCCTACTCTTCTTCATATATATGGATTTGGCTAACCGATAACATCCGTCAGTCCTCTGTCCTCTGTTTCCCATTGGTGGACGATTAAAACCTAGCAACTAGCCACACTTAGCTTGAAAATGTCATCACCTACTACATACTCATACTACCAATGGGAAATAGAGGAATATATGTACTCATATATGTACAAATTTATAGATCTAAACTGTGTACATATATGACTAGATTAGATTGTATGTCGTTTTGACTTTTTTTAGACACATAAATTTTGTTATATATATAGACATAGTGTATACACTACCACTAAATCGATTTGTAGAGGCGCCGGCTTTTTATGTTGGCCCTCGGGCCCCACTAAGCTAGCCTCATTCACAAACATATCATTAGATTACCGGCCGCCTCTAAAGATGTATTTGTATATAACCGCCTCTACTAATGCTCTAGAAATATACAACAACCTCTTTCTTTTTTCCTGATCGTCCTGAAAGGCTAAGTACATTTAGTTGGACTGCAGTTTCAAAGAAATCTTGCGTCTCTTGTAATGGTTGCTCCCGCAGCCAAACTCTGTTCTCACCAACATATGCGAAGCGAAGAAGATTATATGTCCATTGCCATTGGGCGTTGAAAAAAATCCACCCATCCTCGAACCATTGTATCCTTTACCGCAACAATTTGATCAAGCCATTGGATATATGCTCTAGATGTGGTGGCAATTGGTATAAGAACAATGACCGTTACGCTGGGGATGAACCCGATGGGTGATCCTCCATCAGGCATAAGAGGAAGAAGGGTGAGCAAAATGACGTACATGAATCTCAACCTTTAATTTATTCTGAGGCTTGTATATCTTGAAGAGAAGAAGTCACCGAGCTCCCGCTCTCCTTGCTACCAGTATAAATACCCCAGCGATCTGCAAGCTAGTCACAGACATCTTTATATACAAAGGTGCTAATCACCCGATTGAGCTTCACAGACTGGTTCAGAAATAATGGCGTACTCACGGAAGCTAGCGCCCCTAGCTGTGGCCTTAGCAACCATCGCCCTGCTGGTGACGCCCTGCGCGGCGCAGAGCTCGGTGCAAGACGAGGTCGTCAACCTGCACAACAAGGAGCGCGCCGACGTGGGTGTCAAGCCCGTGTCGTGGAATGAGAGCCTGGCCACGTACGCGGAGAGCTACGCGGCGACGCGCCAGGACGACTGCAAGCTGAAGTTCTCCGGCGGGCCCTACGGCGAGAACCTCTTCTGGGGCCCCGCCGGCGGCACCAACTATACGGCCGCCGACGTCGTGGGTTCGTGGGTGTCCCAGAAGATGTACTACGACCACGCCAGTAACACCTGCGCAGCAGGAAAGAGGTGCGACTATTACACGCAGGTGGTGTGGCGCGGCACCACCAGCATCGGCTGCGCCGCCGTCGTCTGCAGCAACAGAGGCGGCGTCTTCGCCATCTGCAGCTACAACCCGCGGGGCAACCTCGACGGCCAGAGCCCGTACTAGACTACCTATCATCATACGCCTGCAGCTGTGCACATGCATGCTTGTTATACGTACGTGTAAGTGTCGTGTGCATGAATACATGTATACATACCGTGTGTCGACGGAGGAAATAAAATTGTGAACTGCATACCGTGTGTATAAACGTAATACATCTCAAAAAATGCATATTTCTGTCATCAACGGTATAAAAATAATTATGTAATCAACATGTATACATACCATGTGCCTCTCAATGAAAAACGCATGAATAGACCGATCGAGAAAAAAATTTCTGGTCCCAGCGATAAAGATGAAATTTCAAGAATTTCAAAAATATCAGACCAAATTTAAATAATATCAAATTTTAAAAAAATCAACGTCATTTCACTAAAAAAGCTTCCTAATCCATCGTGCATCACAAGTTATATAACATCAACGAAATAACACAATATATCACAAAAATAAAGTGGTGGTTATACAGCAGGCTAACTGTGGGCGAGCTGAATATATGCTAGTGATGTCGAACGTGCGAGGAAATTAAAAAAAATTGAAGAAATTTATGGCTTTGGTGAGGCTAAAGGATATGGAGGGCCATTTTAGTGTGGTTAGGTGAATTTTTGGAGTGAAAGATGAATTTAACTAAAAAAATTTGGATGATATAATTGTTTTGGGCCTAGCGAAAAAGGCAATATTTCGAGAATGTATAAACCCTCTTATTTTGATCTCTGTTAGTGATAGCCTTTCATTATAAAATAGTTTTACTTAGGATTGGCCTACTCTGTAATCGACCAGGGTGAAAGGGTAATACTCATGAGAAATTAACAGCTCAGATTAGATAAAAAACAAAAGGGTGGTGTCAGCAAAGGAAAAAATTCACCCAAAGTCCAACTAAAACGAAGCAAAATTTAAAAGCAAATATATCACAGATTACACACCGCACTAATTAATTAACTAACAGATTGATGACTAAGTACATGCATAGATCACCTACACAATGACTAAGTACTTTTATAAAAGTAACTCAACAAATAGCTAGGCAGGCAAGTTCCTGAATGACGGATGATCTCGTGGCGACTCTGTGGCGGTGGTGGTTTTGAGATAGGGTTCGAGCTTTAATCTTGGATCCTGCCATGGCTTTGAGATAGGGTTTGAGTTTTAATCTTGGATCCTGCCATGGAAACGAGAGTGTGCTCTAAGGCGGGGGCTGTTGCCCTTGCAGGTGGCGTTTGGCGCTGTCTCTGTCTGGTCTGCATCACGGCAAAACCTCTCGAGGTGTGGGGATTGCCTTTTCTGGTCTCAATGATGTATAGTATGTATCACTAGCTAACTTTTATGGGTGGGTTGTAAGGTTGTCCATAAATGGTATAGCAATAAGATAAAGCCATAAGTTGTGTGTGAGCCCATGTTTTATTGAATTTTTTGTATAGAGCTTACAAGAGTATGTGTACAAGCCGTCCATAACCTCTCTATACAAGAGTTTAACAAACCACCTGTAAGGCTGTGACTCAAGGGTCATAGAAACCGTGTCTTTACAAATACCATTCTTATAGGCCATTCCTTAGATGGACAACCTATAGAATTGAATTTGAAAAATAGGCTAAAAACAAAAGATATTTTCTCACATGGGCCAACAAACTAAATAGCCACCCTTGGTCAGAGAGGTAATCCACTAGCTCATTCCACGTGCAATACTTTCTTCTTCTCTCGCCATAGAGTTGTTGGTAGAGGTGGGATAACCTTTTCTTTTGATCTTAGTAAAAAAACTATATTCAAAGGTGGTTATTTTGCAAACATTTTTTTGTTATGCGTGTTTATAATGTACAGCATTTATGGTGAAGTAATTAAAAGATGGCACAATGGTATATGCTGAACGTGTATACTAAAAAGATTTGTTAGACAAAAAAATCACTGCTATCAAGTTCGACCTAATTAAAAAGATAAAAAATACAGCTTCTTAAAATATTTAAGTGGACTGCGCGTAAAATCGTTCCATTTCCGTATATGGTTCACATAAGAAACCGTATGTGAAAATGTGATTTCCTAAGTGGTTGAAATTAGAATTACAGAAGACGCCTGCAAGTGGCTTTTAATTTAACCAGGTTCTAAAAAACAGAGATGTCTAGAAAAATGATTTTTTTATAGTAGTGTTATTATTGAATGATCGATGAGCCGAGAAAGGCCCTGAGCTTAGAATGTTAGCAGAGGATGCAGGCCCAATATCGACTGCTTTGGTGGGTCATGTGCGCTGGCCTTTCTAGGGAAAAAAGGCTTAGGATTTGTTTTCTTTCTCTCGTTCTGTGGCCCAAAAATGTGATGATGATGACTGTTACTTATGATGAACGAGCAGGAAAGCCCAATGGGTCTCTAATCGGGAGGCCCAGTCGGTGTCCGCTGTCCCGGTAACCGAGACCAAACATCCGGTGTCTGCTGCTATAGTAACAAGTTTATTAGTGCTAGCTGAATACTCCTTGTGTGACATTGAACATTCCATATATTTGATCTGTTCATCAGTGAGTGTGTGCAATTTCAACAATAAATACTTGTAATGCATACCTTGGATTGAGAAAAACGTTGCGTGTCTTTTCTCAAAATTTAGTAGAGATGCCTCAATGGCCTTTTCTATCCTTCTATGTATAATCGAACTTAAAGTGGGAAGATTCTAAAAATAAAATAAACAAGAAGGATGCAAACGCGTCACAGCGGGATTCTTCTATAAATACAGCAGGGACCCTATTCTGGCCTAAAATTTGAGAGCTAAAGCAAAAAAAAAAAAAAAAAAAAAACAGCACCAATAGGGCACCTACTCAAGCCCTCAAATTTGGATGGGCCTCAAATGAACCCCCTCAGCCCTCAATCCTGCAGGTGTCACTCCCGATCCCCATCCGACAGTTTCGACGGCTCCTCCTCCGGCGAGCGGTGAGGCCACGACGAGAGCACCCGGACCAATACACTCGTGCGTTCTGTCCTTCCTAGCGGCGAGATTCGGCCTTTCCCACGTGCTACTTCTTCCTTGCGCGTGGCCAGGCTCCTCCACGGCGCGGGCGAGCTCGGGCTCCTCCCCGCTCCCTCCCGGCTTCTTCCTCTGGCACGCTCCTCACCGCTCCTCCATGGCGTAGGCCGCGTTCCTCCCTACTCCTCCCCGACACGGGCGACACTCCTCCCCGCTTCTCCATGATACGGGCAAGCTCAAGCTCCTCCCTCCAAGCCCTCCCTGGCGTAGATCTGGCAAGGCCCCTCCCGCGCTCTGCTCCTTCGGTGCCTCCGCTCAACTGAGTGCGGCGACGGAGGGAGGACCAGGCGTGACGACTCGGAGGGAGAAGGAGGAAGAGGCAGAGAGGATGACGAGTGGGTCTCGCGTGTTAGTGAGTCACTGGTAGAGAACAGAGCTTTACTCCCGGTAGGGAACCCCCTCTAGTCCCGGTTCCCCACCCGGGAGTAAGCATCCGGGACTAAAGGGGGGTCCTTTAGTCCCGGGTCAGAAACCGGGACTAAAGGGGGACCTTTAGTCCTGGTGGGTAACACCAACCGGGACTAAAGGTCCTCCCAGCTTTAAAAAATAATGCCTCTCACCGCTGCGTCCCGTGAGATTCGAACCCAAGACCACATGCATTGCCTCACGCGTAGCTTACCACCCCACCTACACAACACATCTAACAATGGATGTGATGCTTCCCTTTTGAACTAACCCATCGGGGGACCTTTAGTCCCGGTTGGAGACACCAACCGGGACTAAAGGTTGAGGACTTTTAGTCCCGGTTGGTGGCTCCAACCGGGAGTAAAGGTCCACCTTTAGTCCCGATTGGTGTCTCCAACCGGGACTAAAGGTCATCTGCCACTGTGCAGAGCGCAGTAGCCGCTGGGCAGAGACCTTTAGTCCCGGTTGGAGACACCAACCGGGACTAAAGGTCTCTTTAGTCCCGGGCGAAAAAAATGCCGGGACTAGAGCTCATTTTAGCATCGGATGAAAGGTCTGTTCTCTACTAGTGAGTGTCTATCAAAAGTGATTTATGGGCTCTAATTTGAGTGCTTATGCTGGAGTGAATGTAAAAAAACAGGCCCTCAAAAATGAAGCCCCCAAATCAAATGATGCTCGGTATGATATTGGTCTGCATGCATGGTTATTGCATCAGATCTGGGGCAGCAACTCTTCTTTTACGCTAGGTATGCCGTGAGGGGTACTTGGGTCAAATTCGAAAAAAAAAAATCCATCAATTGAGACATCCACACAAAGCTGTTTTGACCACGCATGCAATTTTCGTACCAACCGAGCAACTCACGTGTCGCATGACGGTTAAAACTAACGTAAGCAACTGCCACATCATTTACAAGTCGAAGTAAGCAATCGCGGTGAGTTTTCCCCATTTTTAAAAAAATTACATCGTCATTATCAATTCATCGAGCACACGCCTACCGTCCTTGATTTCCCATTGGTGCACGATTCATTCATTCAATCATGCTTTCACTGGATTTTGTCACTCTTCCTTTGCATGCAAAAGTTTGATCAGACTCGTACATACGATTATGCATTGAAAAAAATGGCATTACTATATACTACTACATCGTTATCAATTGTCATGCAGCATTTACTCTTGTCGATCAGCTCCCCATGTATTTACGATTTTACGATAGTACGCTGTTTTTTTTTTTTTTGTAGCATGGTAATACAATACTTTTTTTAAGAGTCATGGTAATACAATATTATCTGCCGCGATTGGCGGGAAGCTAATCAAGATATAATGGTCGGGCCGGTCGTTATTTCCAAAGTCACCGGTGACCTTTCCACACGACATGTTGTGTGTTGTACACTTGTACTGTGCTGTGGAAATTCTACGTGCAAGCATCCTATTTCTTCGTACCAGACGTTTCAACCTTGAACACGCCGTAGAAGTTTGGACGAACTAGGTAGATATATCTCTAGGATATATATATATATATATATATATATATATATATATATATATATATATATATATATATATATATATATATATATATATATATATATATGGAGAGTATATTACTAGTAAAAAAATGGCTTCTATTCCCGGCTGCCAACCCCCTTTATTCCCGGTTACGCGGCCGGGAATAGGAGTTCGGGAATAAAGGGTTAGTAGCCGGAAATAGAAGTGGACCTTTAGTCCCGGTTAGTGATACCAACCGGGACTAAAAAGGTAGCCACGCCAGCGTCTGGACTGGCCCCTTTATTCCCGGTTGGTATTACCAACCGAGACTAAAGGGTCTTTTTTTTTCCTGCTTATTTCAATTGATGATTCATTTTTGTTTTAATTTGGTTTTCGAATACACATTATTCGCTGCAAAGTAATATATGTATACGTGCGCATACTGTAAAGTTTTCGATCGATCAATGCACGCAAGCAACACAAGTAAAAGTAACTAAAACATAATATTATATTTCATCGTCACATATAAAGTTTGCATTAATTGTACATTTCATCATCACATGTTCTTTGGAACAATATGAAATTTGTCTTTCATCATCACATATTTGGGTCATAGTAAAACTCGCTGCTGGGAGTTAAGACCTGATCATTCAGAAATCCACCTATTATCTCTTGGATTGCTTTGAGATGGTGTGTGTCCAGGGTTTTTTCCTTCAACCAACGAGTCTTCAATTTGAGATATGAGATAAAGAAAAAGTATATTAGTATATATATACATAATTTCATACATATATACATTAATTGATACATATATATACACATTTCATACATATATAATTTCATACATATATACATTAATACACATTTCGTCAATATAATTCATAAATATAATAAATATAATATATATATATGCCGGCGGTTTAGAATTAATGGAGTGTTGGCGATGGGCGGTGGTGGACAGCGACGCTGGATCGAGGCATGGGGGCTCCTGGCCGGACGCGGCATCGTCGGGGCTACTCCGGCTAGGTGTGGGTGGGCGTCAGGATGCCCTCCGGTGAGGAAGAAGGCGCGGCGTCTGGCCGGGGTGGCCCGGGAAAGCGAAATCGGTGGCGGCGTGGCGCGCGCGCGGCGTCGAGGGCAGCCAGGGGCTCCTCCTTGAGGGGCACGGCATCGGGGCTACTCCGGTCAGGTGGGCGGGCGTCGGGGTGCCCTCCTGTGAGGAAGGCGGCGTCGGGGGTGGCCGGGAAGGCGAAATCGGCGGCGGCGTGGTCTTGTGTGGCGTCAGGGCGGGGGGGCCTCGGTGAGGGGCGCGCGTCGGGCTACTCCGCGAGGTGGGCGAGCCTCGGGGTGCCCTCCGGTGAGGAAGGCGGCGTCGGGGGTGGCCGGGAGGCGAATCGGCGCATGGCGGAGCTCTGGGGGCCCAACAAGACGAAAGACGATCGATGAGGAGGAAGAGAAAAGGGAGGCGGCGGTATATAGGAGAGGGACCTTTAGTCCCGGCTCCATCCACCGCCCGGGACTAAAGCACCTTTAGTCCCGGCTCCTCCTCCACCACCGAGACTAAAGGGGACCTTTAGTCCCGGGCCGCTGGAAAGAGCCGGGACTAAAGGATTTTTATGATGACCATAAAGCGCAGCCCACCTTAGTCCCAGCTTGGTGGCGAGGAGCCGGACTAAAGGTGGGCTACATTTTCATTTCCCGCCAACTTTTAAGCAGATCAGTTTATTTTATATATGTTTTGTATTTAAATGTTTAAGTCTTATTATTTGCGCAGTAAATTCAATACTATGCATAAAATTTTTTAGAAAAAGTAATAAACTTTATTTTCTTTTACTGCACACAAAAAAAATATGTGACCTAAACTATTGTGTTTTTTGTTATAAATGTTGAACATAATGCAACTAATACTCACTATTTTCGTTAATGCAAAAATGTAGACTTTAATTAAAATTATTAAATTTATATGGTGAATTACATATTGAAAACAATATAATTTTGCATCAACCTCCACAAATATTTGTCTCCTAGGGCACAATAGACCATTTGGCAAAGTTTGGCACCATTCCGGATCATTTAGGGGTGGACCCAGTTCAATGTATAATTAATCGGTGAATTCGCGCGAAAATTCAATTAAAGTGAAAAAAGTACCAAACCACCTCAGAAAAATCTCAAACTTGGTGGTGGCTACACATAGGGCATTTGAAGTCTTGAGAAAAAGTTTTAGCCCAATCCGGCACTAGAAAGCACATGGACCTCAGAATCCCAGACAACCTAGGTGTATAGTAGGGTTCGACGAAAGGTTCTATATACCTCTGTGAAGCACGTCGACTCCGCCTATGCCGAAATAGCTTAAAAAATTTTTCGTAGTCATTTACACCCAAAATATGGCCCCACACAAGATCTTAGGTTTTTCTGATAATTATTTTTATTATTACATTTTTCTTTGTGCCGCGTGAGATGAAATACGGTGAATTACATATTCAAAACAATATAATTTTGCATCAACCTCCACAAATATTTGTCTCCTAGGGCACAAGAGACCATTTGGCAAAGTTTGGCACCATTCCGGATCTTTTCGGGGGGTGGACTCAGTTCAACGTATAATTAATCGGTGAAGTCACGTGGAAATTCAATTAAAGTGAAAAAATTACCAAACCAATTCAGAAAAATCTCGAACTTGGTGGTGGCTTCACACTGGGCATTTGAAACCCTGATAAAAATTATGAGATCAATCAGGCACTAGAAAGCACATGGACCAGAAAATTCAAAGTATAGCTAACAAAATAATATAATCAATTAAAGGGTCTTTTCTCTTATTAAATAAATGTTTGGGTGCTTTCTTGTCGAGAAAGTGACTTAGTTCAGATGGCTAGCTAGTGCGCTGCGGTTTGGACCTTGGCTATGAGGTCGTGGGTTCAATGCCTGGCTGCCCCATTTTTTTATCCAGCGCAACTATATTATTTTATCAAGAAAGATTTTATCTCGGTTATAGCCCAGAGCCGGGACTAAAGGTCATCCTTTAGTTCCGGCTGGAGCCTCAAGCCAGGAGTAAAGATTTATTCCCGGTTGGAGGGTCCAGCCGGCTCTGGGCTATAACCGGGACTAATTGTTGTCTGCCATCGCCACACACTTGGGGCAGGAACTTTGTATCCTTGTACTTGGGGCAGGAACTTTGTATCCTTGTTTGAGAATACAATCGGGACTAATAGTCCCTTTAGTCCCGAACACAAAAATATCGGGACTAAAGGCAAAAATAGAGGCGGGATGAAATGTCTGTTTTCTAGCAGTAGCCAGCTACAAAAATAAGTTATTCTGTAGCCACCTCCATTTACGATGATTTTATATACTAATTTACGATAATGTTAATACATATTTACGATAATTGGGTTACTATAACACATGAAGATATTTACCGTAACGTTAATAAACCACCTAGAAAGGAGTTACTATAATCTCGTAAATTAACATAGTAATTATCGTAACTCAAAATGGCTACAGAATAAGTTATTTTGTAACCAGCTACATGATAGCAGTTCTCTCTCTCTCTCTCTCTCTATATATATATATATATATATATATATATATAGTATCATATAAGATATTGGCAATCTCTCCCTGTCATAAAGAATTTGAAAAACGTGTGGCCTGTGTTACCCTTAATGACAAACAATCTTCTGGAACCCTAGCTAATCTTGCACGCGTGAAGAAACGAATTGGTCATGGCCGGCCGAGACCAGATGAAGTAACTGTTGCTCCCAAAGTCTACTAAACGTAAGTTTGCAGGAAATTTACCGGCCGATCCTATCGGATATGCAATCCAATGCCATGGAAATTCTTGCCTCTCTTGGAATTCTTTTAGCTCTTGTAGGCGCCACCATTGACCTTGACCATGCCAAGTATGTACTTACTGCAAATTAACACTCACCATTTCTTTTTACCAGTTTGGCATCTTGCTTGGACAAGTCACCGAAACTCAGTATAAATACCCTGGCCAATCGCCACATCTCATGCACCGATCCATCGATCACAACAGCCATCTGCTTATTCATATAACTTCGTCAGCAACACAACAGCAGCAGCAATGGCGTCCTCGTCACCGAAGCTGCGGCTAGCGTGCCTCGTAGCCGCAGCTCTGGCCCTGGCAGCCATCGTCGTCGCGCCGTGCGCGGCGCAGAACTCGCCGCAGGACTACGTGGACCCGCACAACGCGGCCCGCGCGGACGTGGGCGTCGGCCCGGTGTCCTGGGACGACACGGTGGCCGCGTACGCGCAGAGCTACGCGGCGCAGCGGCAGGGCGACTGCCAGCTGGTCCACTCCGGCGGGCCCTACGGCGAGAACCTCTTCTGGGGCTCCGCCGGCGCCGACTGGTCGGCGTCCGACGCCGTCGGCTCCTGGGTCTCCGAGAAGCAGTACTACGACCACGACACCAACAGCTGCGCGGACGGGCAGGTGTGTGGGCACTACACGCAGGTGGTGTGGCGCGACTCCACCAGCATCGGCTGCGCCCGCGTCGTCTGCGACAACAACGCCGGCGTCTTCATCACCTGCAACTACAACCCGCCGGGCAACGTCGTCGGCCAGAGCCCTTATTAGGCTACTGTTGTCATGTATACTACGTACGCTTTCAGCATCGCATGCATGTATACTTATATATGCAAGGATACCGTAGGTTGGATCGGAGGGAATAAATAAATAAATTGTTGTCAGCTGCATACCTTATAGGATGATTATATTGTTGGTAAACATAGTAAGTCAATAAAGAAACATGCAGGAGATTGATGAGGCATATTTCTGCTCTTATTTTGATCTCTGTGTTTATCATTTCTCACAGGGCCGTCCCGGACTAAACCAATACCCTGTGCCAAAATCTAAAACATAACCTCGTAAGATAGAACAATAAAATAATATATATACGATAATGTAGTGCACTGTGAAGGGATGTATCCAGAGTTGTACCTATTCAACCTTTGACCACATAATCTTTACTTGAACAACATCATTTTTTTTGTGTTCTTGGAAATGCAATATTCAATGATAAACTCGTAATCAGTCAGCATACTCATAATCAATCTTCTCCAGCATGTCACTCTCAAGTGCTATTGTTGTCAAATCAGTAAGCCTTTCTTGTGTCACTGTGGAACACAAATACGACTTCAATAACTTAAATTTACAAAAGCTTATTTGTTCCGCTAATGCGACAATCACAGGAACGGTCAACATAACTCTATATACAATTGTTGCATTGGGAAAACAATCGTTATGTCACTTCAGGAACTTTAAAATTTCAATATAGGCCCATTTTTTGGAACGAAAATCGTAAAAACACATGGATACAAAAGATGAAATCTGGTGTAATTCCGTCCGCGGTGCTCCCTGCTGGCCTGCTCGGCTACTCTGTTCAGCTGCTCTGTTCGGCGATATGGGGCTCCGGCAAGCACAGGCGCAGGCACCGCGCGAAGCCTAGGGGCGGCGGCGGCGCTGCCGGGGGCCGGGGCCGGTAGCCGAGGGGCGAGGGGCGAGGCTCAGCCCCGTGAGGGCGACGGCAGCCGCCAGCAGGCGGAGGCCGCGGGGCCGAGCGGGCTGGGTGCCTCCGCGCCGGCGCCAGCGAATGCGAGATGCGAGCGGGTGGCAGGAGCTCAGGTGCTGACCGTGGGCCGCGACGACGACGCATAGTGTGGAACAAACGATGGCGGCGAAGCGTAGCTCGGCCGCGGGCCACAGGCTGCGAGGGCGAGGCGCGAAGCTTGGCCGCAGCCGCAGGACAGCCGCGAGGACGAGGTGGAGCTCGAGGGCACCATGCTTTCTCAGGCTGTTTACGTCTGGGTTGTCTAGGTCTAGCATTGTTTTCTATTTTGTTTTCATTCAAACAAGAGGTACTCTTATCACTTAGCTTTTTATTAAAAATAAGTATTTAGTCTCAAGTTAAATGAGCATGGCCTGCAGAGTTCAATTTATAAGATGAATTAAAATACATGACACATCGTTGGATAAATCTCCAATCTTTTCATGTCCGTAAGAGTTAGAGCAAAACACAGTCGTTTAGTTTGAAGGCGAATTGAAACACATGACACTTTAGCTTTCCATGTTCGTATGAGTTAGAGAAAAACACAGTCGATTTGAAGGCAAATCGAAACACATGAAACTTTAGTTAATTAAGTTTTGAGCCAAAAGTCGTATAAGTGACATTGCAATAAACTATGTGTCCGGTTGTAACGCACGAGCATTTTTGCTAGTAAAATAACAAAAAGAAAATTTAACCCCGGATGAAAATAATAAAAAGCCCTAAAGTGAAATCGGCCCGGTAGCGGACCGTATCGTGTGCGGCTATAAGGTCTGGAGCGAGCGTGCGCCGTGTGGCCTGCTTAATCATCGGTGCATCTCCCCTCGTTGGAGACCATATCTGCATGGCCAACTTACACCTTTTTATGTGGCTTATAAGCCTGCTGATGCTGTTTGTTGTGAGAGAAAAATACTATATCATAGCTAATAAGCATAGCTGATACGATCGGGTGAACAGGGTGTTAATGGGCCGACCGAGCAAAGCAAGCGTGAACAGATTATTTATTATGTAAAATGTCAGTGGCTCTGAACGATCCAGATATCCATGTAACTATACGGCATGCAGTTTACGTTGTGGCCTTTAGCACAAGCGCGGCCTGGATGGGCCTCTGTCTCGCCCATTGGGCCTTGGTTTTGGATGTCCTCATGTGCTGTCAAGTTTCAAGTGCATGTGCATGCATGCACACGAATTGCCCTAAAAAAATGCATGCACACGAATTCTTCTTGGATATAAAAGGAATAAAAAAAAGTGGAGAAAATTAGTTTCTAGGTCAAAAAAAAGTTGTGCTTAGTTTCTTGGTCCTTTCGTTTTGAACTTTCCTATTTAGCCCCAAGATGAATTTTGTTTAGTTTCTTGGCCCTTCCGTTAGTTTCAGCCTCTAATGGTGTTAACTTATACGCAAAATTACCCTTCTACCCCTGACACCGAAGGCAACAGTATACATGCCATTAGGCTGCATACTATCAATAATTTCCCAAAATAATGTATACTATATTTGCAAGCATGAAATAATTAGGGATTTTGCATACAATATAATTGAGAAATTATTTCGCAAACTTGCAAGCATATTTGGGAAATAATACTCCTGCATTATATTGTGTTTGGTGTACGCCAAATAATATTCGACGGTATTATGGTAGGTACAATATATTATTTCAAAATAAGTGATGTGGTACTGAAATTATTTAACAAGTTGCTTAATATATTCGGCAGGTACAATATATTTGGTGCAAATATATTTGGGAAATTAATTTCATGCTTTTTTGTTTCATGCTTGCAAATATATTGTACCTTATTTTGGGAAGTTATTGATAGTATGCGAAAGGCATGTACACTATTGCCTTCAACGCTAGGGTAGAAGGGTAATTTTGCGTACAAGCTAACACCGTTAGAGGCAGGGCCCAGAAAGTAAAAGAAATTCGTTTTGGGTTCAAATAGGCAAGTTCAACACAAAAAAGACCAAAAACTAAGCACAACTTTTTTTAGGGCCTAGAAACTAATTTTCTCAAAAAAGTGCACGGAGACTTTCAGTTGCAGACACTACTTAGACCCGCCGGAACAAAAATACTTGGCCACTACTGGTGCGTAGCTCTACTCTTCTTCCTCTTTTTTTTCTTACTTATATTTAAAGTATAAACAGCCCATGCACTGATGTAAATTAAAAAGCCCTATTTAAAGTTTGAAATGATGCGCATGCACTGATGTAAAATAGCAAAACAAAACTTAATTCTGGAAAATAAATAGCCCTAAAGTGAAATCAGCCCAGTGGCAGCCTGTGTCGCGTGTGGCTAGGTCTGAAGCGCACCCTGTGTTGCCCGCTTAATCGGCCATGCGTTGCTCCTCGTTGGAGCCCATCTGCGTGGCCCAGTAGTCGATCAAAGCGTGCGTGAACAAATGTCGCTGGCTCCCACAACTGTAAAAAATGCCACTGGCTCTGAACGATCCAGATATCCATGTACACGGCATACAGTGTAACGTTGTGGGCTTTAGCATAAACGTGGCCTCGATCGCCCATTGGGCCTTGGTTTTGGACGTCCTCTCGTGCTCTCATTTTTCAAGTGCATACACACGAATTCTTCTTGATATATTAATAAAAAGAACAAAAAGGTGTATGGAGACTTTCAGTTGCAGAGACTAATGTAGACCCAAAAAAAAAAACTTGGCCACTACTGGTGCTGCTGCTTGCAAGGCTGCTCAGTCTGTTCGGAATTGTTGGCTTGTTCGTTGCTGGTTCGTGAGAAAGTACTGCGGGCTGGTTTGTGTGAGAGAAAAATATTGTTCCTGGCTGAAAACACTGTTCACGTGAAACAGTGCCCCACGTGAGAGGACTGGTCAGCACCAGTCAGCCAGCCGCTCTAGCCGAACAGACTCGCTATCTCTGTTCTTCCTCCTCTCTCTTTTTTTCTATCTTATAGTAAGGGCAAGCTTAGCTCAGTTCTCTTGTGTGCCACACTCAGGCACTCAGCTAGTACTGTATGCATCACTGGTGACCAGCCAATTGTAGCTTGACAGCTGGAAGGTGATCCTTCCTTCCACCATGGTGATGATGATGGTGATGGTGTTTCATGGTGATGGTGATGGTGATGGTGTTTCGAGTCTCGGGTGGGATCTGATATCTCGTGGCCTCCCAAGTTGCAGCCGAAGATCAAATCGATATCGTCTCCTGGCCTCGAATCCGATTCAGGAAGAAACGGAGAACAGTGCCTCTGAATTTCCACCCCACTCATCTTTTACATATATAATAATATATGGGTCCACAGCAACTGCGATTTGCAATAATGGTATATTTATATTTGTTTGTATTTCTCCGTATACTAACCAACACCACGTATTATTACGAGAGGAGATATAGAAGAAAGAAAAGAAACAAAAAGAGACTAATTTCAAGGGGGAAAAAAGCCAAGAAACCAGATGAGAGATAGTTCACTGGTTGGTTTTTGAACCGATGAGCTGAACTGACGTTGGTTCGTTGAGAAAAAATTATCGTCAGCTGACTGATAAACTCTTACTGAGCGAACAGGGTCAGCAGTGGTAGTAGGAAAAGGGCGTAATGGTACTCCTACCCGTAAAGAAAGAGTTGCAGTGGACGGACTGACTGACCGAGTTAAGAGGGGACAGAAGGGACGTTCGAGTTGACAGCAAGAGGGGCCCGCGCGGCTGCATGCATCCCTAGCCCCACCCCGAATGGTGGCCTCCGATCCTCTGTCCGTCTCCGTCTCCGTCGTACCATGCTCGTGCTGTCTCTCTCCCCTCCTCCCAAGCGTTTAGTTCGTTGAAAAGTTTTCCCAAAAAATGCTACAGTACCTATTATATCAAATCTTGCGATACCTGCATAGAGCATTAAATGTAGACGAAAAACAAAACTAATTGTACAGTTTGGTTGAAAATTACGAGACGAACGTTTTGAGCCTAATTAGTCCATAATTGAACACTAATTGCCAAATAAAAACAAAAGTGCTACGGTAACCAAATTTCTAAGTTTTCGCGAACTAAACAAGGATCTCTCTCTCCACCCGTTGCCATTGGATGCAGC